CGGGCATCGCCGCTAAAGCAAGAGTGTCAGAAGAACAATATCCACCGACAGAATCGAAGCCGTGTGGTCCAAGCCCGCTACTAAGTACAAGTTCCATGGAAAAAACTATTCATTTCAGATTGTTGGCCTTTTTTGTTCGTTGGAAAACGCGTGGAGGATAGCTGTGGCTATGTCGTCACCTAGAATCAGGTGGGCTGATCACGTGGGATACAACTTATAACAGGGGCTGCTTTTGTAGATCTGACAGCAGCCTATGACACAGTAAGGCACAAAACATTGCTCCGCAAATTATACGACACTCTCAATGACCACCATCTGGAAAAGGTCGTATATTCCTTACTACAAAATAGACGTTTTTTCGTTATCCTGGATAGTAAAGTAAGTAGGTGGAGAGTTCAAAAAAACGGCCTACCACAGGGAAGTGTTTTAGCACCAATGCTCTTCAATATATACACAAATGACCAACCTACTCCGACCGAAACCAAGCACTTCCTCTATGCTGACGATCTTGCAATATATGCTCAAGGAAATAGTTTTGAAGAAGTGGAGGAGAAACTCGAAACTGCGTTAAAAACAATGACAGCGTACTACCTGCAGAATTCTCTGAGTCCCAATTCCTCTAAAACCCAAGTCTGCGCTGTCTACCTTCGCACAAAGGAAGCCAAGCGAAAACTCCAAATTGTGTGGAATGGTAATACATTAGAACACACAAACCAACTTATATATCTTGAAGTAACTCTGGACCGGTCCCTCACCTACAGACAACATTGCTTAAAAACAAGAGGGAAAGTAACAACTAGGAACAGCATACTCAGAAAGCTAACGGGAAGTAAATGGGGCGAACGTCCTGGCGTTTTAAGAACAACGGCACAGGCACTGTGTTTCTCAACTGCTGAATATGCGTGCCCCGTTTGGAGCAGATCTGCCCACACCAAACAAGTTGATACTGCGCTAAATGAGACATGCAGGATAGTAACGGGGTGCATGAAACCAACGCCACTTTCAAATCTATATAGAGCAGCGGGTTTTGCAGAACCCTCAACACGCAGAGACGTTGGAGAACACATAGAGAAAATTAAACAGATCGCGGACGATCGGCATGCCCTATACAAAGCTCGAACACCACGAAAGCGACTAAAATCTAGGAAAAGCTTCCTTGGAACAGTGCAGGATGAACCGCCTGAGTATTTTCCACTTCCCCAGGTTCAATGGACCGGCCAGACCCTAGACTCTAAAACGTGGAAAACCTTGAATAGGATAAGAACGGGGGTTGCTACAGTAAAATCAAACATGGCAAAATAGGGAAAAATAGACCAAGATGATGTAAACTGTGATTGTGGAGAAACACAGAATATGGAACATCTTCTTACATGCAGAAACTGTCCTCATCGATGTACCCTTGAAGATTTGTGGCTCGCCAACAAAGATGGAACCGACGTAGCCCGATACTGGGCCGAAATTTTATGAATGACATGCCGGACACGATAAAGTAAAGTAAGTACCTAGGATCAGGTATCGTTGTGCAATGAGATTGGGAAACCACAGAAAACCAATCTCCCCCTGTCCTTGTGATATTTATTCGACTCTTAAGAGTGTATGTGGTGCTCATGATGTAAGTGTTGTGTTTAGATATTTATGAATTTTATGAATTTATGTGTTTATTATTTAGGATTGTGAGCGGAGTGGAGGTAAAGTATGTGTAAATGAGTGATGGGTGTTTGTGTTAGGTGTGCATGTGTGTAATGATGTGTATTAGATGTGTAGATGGGTGAAGGTTTGGTTTATGAGGTTGTTTGTGCAGGAAGTGGCTATGGCACATCCGTACATTGCGTTGGATATTTGGTTTAGAACGCGGCTGGTTGCGCTTCTGTTTTCAGGGAAGACGTTGAATAGGATCATGGATGTGAAGTGTATTAAGGATTTCATATCGGAGGATAGGTCGTAGGAAGGGATTTGTTTCTCTGTATATACTGGTTGGGTTTGATTGTAGTTATTGAGATGAGCACTGCGATGTAGACATCTTGGTGAGAAGGCGGGATGGGGACCGTTACAGTTCGGGCATTTGGGAGCAGATATCGTGAGGCAGGCAGAGGACCTGTGTCCGAGTCCGCAGAACGGACAAGTGATTGATTTTTCAGGGCATTCGCTGTTGAAATCACCGCTTTTGCAACATTTCGAGCGAACGGGAACGGAGTTGCCTGATCGTGGGATCTCACAAGCTAACCGCTCCCCCTCGATCACGATGCCGCTCGAAAGTGCTTCAGCGAACTTCAGTTCAGAGTTTGTAAATACTCTGATATAAGAGGTAGGCTGGTTTAGGTTTCCCCTACACGTCGATTGGACGATGGCCATGCTTATCCGAGCAGGACTAGTTCACCTTCGATCCAAACTAGATACATGGTGTATTCTTCCATCCCATGAAACTAAGCTGCTCTTAATCCATCAAAGCAACTGTTAGGATGTGGCCTTATTTCAATTCAAAACACTTGCACAACGACAGTGCTTCCTTGCCACTTATGAATCTTTGAAACAGTTTTATTAGAAGTTCATATACAGTTGTGTGCTATATTTCAATAATTCTTAAGTAGGCATGACGCCGAGTCACGCAGATTTGTTGTATTTGAACGATTTGTAGATTGTACGTTGTTAATATCTTCGTTTCCTTCTAATTCTTCTCTTTTTTCATGTTATAGCATTTTGTAATATTATTTTCATTCTTTTGGTGTTTTATGGAACTATTTCTTTACTCTTTCTATTGTTACTTCGGTTCTTTATCTTTATTTAATCGGATCACGATATATTCCTTTTAAGATTGAATTTTATTAATCTAACTATGACATCAGTTCGAAATACTTTCAGAATAACACATGAAGGCGCTATAGATGCATTCAACAATCTCTTGAGTAAAGAAACATGGCAAGATGTTTATCATGCAACTGATGTTGAGAGTAAATATAATGCCTTTCATGATAAATTACAGTTCTATTTCAATATTAGTTGTCCTATTAGAGAAACCAAACATTACCAAAACAAAAAAACATGGGTCACCCAAGAAGTAAAATCTTCTTCAGATAGTCTGAAGGATTTGTATATATTGAGTAAGACTTACCCTGAGCTAAAAACTCTACATAGACAAAAAAATATCAGCACAAAGTTCTTGTTGAGGCCACAAAGGGTCAGTTTTATTTTAACAAAATCTCTGAATCTTCTCAAAACCACAAAAACAAAACCACATGGGCTGTTATAAATGAACTTAATGGAAAACAAAAAAATCACAAAAATATCTGTCTAAAAATAGATGATACTAGGATTACAGATTCAGATATAATATCAAACAAATTTAATGATTACTTTATAGATGCACCAGTGGATATAATTAGTAATATAATTAAACCAAATTTAAATTTTCAGCATTCCAATGATTTTGTTCAAAGTAGTTTGTTCCTATCTTATGTAACAGAGGAAGATGTCTTAGATATAATAAAATATAAAATTAAAAACAAAGCATCGTGTGGTTTTGATGAAATATCAGGTATAGTAATTAAGAAAATTGCGTCTCAAATTTTGACACCACTGGCTCACATTATAAATGCTTCTTTCAATATTGGTGTTTTTCCCAATATGCTGAAAACTTATATCATTTCACCGGTATTAAAACAAGGTGATCCTGAATTAATGTCAAATTTTCGACCATTGTCTGTTCCATCTGTGATATCTAAGATTATTGAATATGCAATGCTAAAAGAACTTTTATTATTTTTAGATATCAACCAAATTATCACAAAGCATCAACATGGATTTCGAAATAAATTTTCTACTTCCACAGCCATTAATAGTTTTTATGAGGAAGTCTTACTCTCAATTGAGAACAGTGAAAATCCAACTGCCATTTTTTGTGATCTCAGTCGTGCATTTGATTGTGTGCAACCCGATGTACTCCTCGATAGATTGTACAGATATGGTGTTGGGGGAGTTTCTCTCATTTATCTTTTAAGACTCATTGTTGGAATGTATGTAAACAACTCAATTCTAAATGTTATCAATTGAGAGATTTGGGTAGAATACTTAGTCTGCAACACCTTCGTCTCTTTTATTTTGCTGAGGTACAATCGACAATAAGTTACGGTATAACTGTCTGGGGTGGTTCTTCTAGTGTAAAGGACGTTTTCAAGGCCCAAAAGCGTATTGTCAGATGTATAGCAGGTGTTCCGTATGGTTGGTCTTGTAAAAACCTATTTAGAGATTTGAATATATTAACAGTGTATGGAATTTACATTTTGGAATTATTGATACTAATTCATAAAAATAAAAGAACTTTTTTATGTAACAGTGATATTTACTCACACAACACAAGAAATAAGAGACAGTTTGTAGTACCCTATCGACATTTAGAAATAAGCAGGAAGTCATCTACTACCTGTGGTTTACTACTGTATAATCAACTTCCTCCAAAATTTAAAAACATTAATTCAACTACAGCTTTTAAAACCCAAGTCAAAGAGTACCTAGTGACCATGTGTCCTTATACATTAGATGAATATTACGAGGGTGTATCTGTGAATGCTAATGAATATCTAAGCTGTGAATATCTAAGCTGCAACATAACCAAATTTATTATTATTTTAATTATATGTCTATATTGTACTTACGTTTTTTAAGTATTTTAATGTTTTAAATATTTTTAATGTATTCTTTCCAATATATTGTTTCCATTTTTTGTAATATTTAATATTTAAAATTTTAGTTTTGACTTGATGTAAACCTAGTTGTAATTTACAGTCAATTAAACTATCTATCTATCTTATAATTTTCCAACTTCTCCAACTTCCATCCAGGTAGACATCAAACATTTCTTTCCAATGCTTTCCATGTTTCTTCAAGAATGTTATTATTATTCTATGTAATAATGCTATGTTATTCCCGACATATGTCTTGTAATAATTTTTTATGCAATGCCTACTAGAAATTTTGAACTAATTTGAAATAACAAGACACTCGGTTAAGTAATATTTTATATAAATTTGTTAGTTTAAAAATAATAAAAATTATGATAAAGATATTTATAAAATTCTAACATTTTGAATGTTTAAAAATTTTATAATCCAATATACTGGTACTGCTTCCGTCCACTTCTTCATTAAAGTTAAGTTTCTCATACTTTATAGTTATTTCATTATTATCATCATTTACTGAACATTTTACATCAGTCCCACTAGATTCACTTGAGTCATCCGATTCTTCTGCATTTTGTAGTGGAACTGCACCTTCTATATCTTTCACATTGCTAACATTCACCACTTTGGATTTCACCACTTTACAATTTACAACGTTCCCGTCATCATCTACGTCTTGTATAGTCAAAATCACGTTATTTGCCTTCGCTTTTTTTCTGGCATGCTCTTCCTTTTTAGAAGTCGATAAAACGGTCACCGACTTGCCATCGTTGTCGTAATTGAGGTTATAAGTAGACGGTTCTATCACACTATTGGTTTGCATTGACTCGCTGCGTATCATCTCCTGTGTAACTTCCAGGCTCTCGTATCTGACAGTTTGAAGTCTGTGAACGCCGTCTTCATCTTTTCTGTATCTGTAATATTACCATTAGTATAAATTAACTATTCAAAAAAATACATATATAAAATATAAATAAGAATACACAGAATAAACCGATACACCGATGGATCGAAGGACCCGATAGCGAATACTAGCAATTTACACGTATGTGGAATTGTGATGTAAAAAAGTACCTAAAATACTCGTTACAAAGTAACGGGTATTTGTCCAATACCCGAAGTACCGATTCCTCGTTGTTAGAAATACTCGTTACTTTTGGTACAGAATAAAACAGGACCAAACTATAACTAAGCGAAATACCCGGATATCGGTAACACAAAACAAGGTACTGATGGCTGGACCTATATCGACATGGAAGGACCCATTTCATATCGAAGGACTGTAAATTTTATGGATGATTACTTCCATGTTTCAACTATAGCGAACGACATACTGCAGAAAATATAGTTAAGGAATTAAAACGACTTAGTGATGAATAAAATGTCTCATTGAAAATACGTGCCATTAATACAGAAAACGCAGCAAATGTTGTAGCAACTTCTAGACTGACCTTATGGGATCACATTTCTTGTTTCGTTCAGACGATAAATTTAATTTTTAGAGATGCATTAAAAAACGGAAGACTTGCAAAAAAAATCAAAAATATTGTTCACCGAAGTTCGAACGCGACTGCTTAACTCAGAGCTACTCAAAATCAAATGAAACCCGACGAAACCCCCTTAAAGTTGATTAATGATGTAGCAACAAGATCAAACTCGACATACTATATGTTTGATAAACTAGTTACATTATCGGAACCTTTGGCTGCAACAATAGGTCTTTTGCTCAATCCTATTAGTCTTCTAACTGAAGAAGACTGGACGATATTAAAAGAACTTTGCCATATTTTAAAGCCTTTTGAACCAGTTACTGTTGAAATGAGCGCAGAAAAGCAAGTAACCCTCTTCAAAGTTATACTCATTATAAAATGACTACTTTCGTCTTCAGAGCGAATTAAAGGTAAAGTATTTAGTCAAGCAGGAAGAACTGTAATAAATTTTCTGCTTGCCTCCATTATTGCCCGTTTTGTAATTCCTGAAAACTAAAATCAAATTCAGGATGAACTAGTTCATCTTATAGAATATCAATCTACTGAAAATGAAACCGTTAATGAAAATATAAAGAAGGACCTATTGGACAGAAAATTACGATATGATTTGGCAGGATTTTGATACATGTGTAAAAAGCTCGTTGCATGTGACAAGTCCAACAGCAGTCGCCATCACCGAAATCAAAATGTTTTCTGAAGAGCCAAACCTTGAAAGAAAAAAGGATCCTCTCGTTTGGTGGTAAGAGAGGCAAAGAGTGTATCTCTGGTTATCTAAATTATCCAAAAAGTATTTATGCGCATGTGCTACCTCTGTTCCATTCGAACGCATCTTTTCTAAAGCCGGTCAAATAAAGCCGTTTCTAAAGCCGAACGCAGAAACAGATTAAAGTCAAAAAATGTAGAAAAGCTTACTTAATATTACTAAAACGCTATATTATACTCACTTAAATCTGGAATGACCAGAAGGCCAATGGTAATTATGAAGTTTGGTTAAATGTTTTGTCAAATATGTGCCCCTCTTAAACTTTTTCTTACAGCAATGACATTCATACACTAAACCAGCCTAAAATAAATTCAAAGAAGTATAATAACGAGTTAATAGGTTATACGTTTGTGGTAAATTCAAAGTGGTATACAATAAAGTGTGTCAATCACAAATTAAACCCTTAATTCGTGATCTCACATTAATCTTAACTTCCTAATTTTCCTTCATATTATTGTAATAGACTCTATAATAGACTTTAATTTCGAGGATATTCACCTTCCGGTAGAATTTGATAAATTGCTAAATTTGATTGAAATAACGTCCTTGTTAAAAAAAAATACTTGTCTGAGCGTTTATGTACAAAGCTGCAATCGCCTTATTTGTGACGTTATAAATTAGGGTTATAAGTAGGGGTACGGAATTTTCGTTTATACGAAATAGATGCGAATTTCGGCGAAATTTTGAACATAAATGCGATAAATGCGAAATATGGATTTTTTGTTTATTTCCGCGAAATATCTGCAGGTGCTCAACTCACCCCTAAATAAGTAGGTAGTTACGAAGGTATAGAAAGATTTTACAGAAAGTTTTCTATTGTAATTTTTGAAAGGATTGTTTACTGTTGTAACACGTGTTGAAACAGAAGGATCTTTCATTGTTCATCATTAAATAGATAAAGATAAGATAAGGAATTGATATTTTTCAATGTTGATTCTTTGAGAAATATAAATAAGCCGACTGTTGTTGATAAAAGTCGGCTAATTCTTATTTTCTAAACATATAAATTAGTCAACCAGGACAATCAATGCTCATTCCGTCAATTTTTACTGAGTGAGAACATAGTCTATCAAAAAAGTTTTCATAGTGAAATAAAGTTACTTAAAGTATCTCCTAAAATGGGACGCCCTAAAACAATTTTGAGTGACCGAGTCAAAGAATTTGCAACCGATGGCCTATATCTGTGTGACACAAATATTGTGATGTGTAAGTATTGTAATACTCGTTTGGAAGGTGATAAAAAGGACACACTGCAGAAACATGTGAAGTCGACTAACCACATTAACAAGAAAAAATCTATAGCATCTACTTCAGGAACTAAGCGACAAATGTCAATTGCTAGTGGCTTTGAGAGACAGAAACGAGCAAAAGAAGAAAATGATACTTTTGTGGAGGATACAGTTAGTATGTGTCTGAAAGCCAACATTCCACTTCATAAATTGGATCATCCAGCTGTGCGTGAATATATTGCTAGATATGTGCCGGGGTCGGGTGCTCTTCCATGTGCGGACACTTTAAGGAGAAAGGTAGTGCCTCGGTGTGGGCTGTCTGAAAAAGCCAATACAAAGCAACAGCTGAAAGACAAGCCCATTGTAATAGTAGCAGACGAAACCTCGGATGGACAAGGAAGATGTGTTTTTGCTATTCTCTTCAGAACTATAGATTCTGTACTACATCAAGAATGTTTTTTAGCAAGTGTTAACTTCCTTGATACTGCCAATGCATCAACGTGTTCACAGGCAATTATAGATACATTAAAAGACTTTGAAATTGGTTATTCACAAGTTAAAGGCCTGGTATCAGATTCCGCAAGATACATGTCTGCTTGCTTTAACCTATTAAAAATTCTAATAGGGCCACATATCTTACATTACCAGTGTTGGGCTCATAAAGTTAATCTTGTTGGTGATGTGTTTGTAGGAGAGTTCAAGGAGTTAAACATGTTTAACTTTATCCAGCACCAGTTGTAACTAGATGGAACTTTTGGTTCTCAGCAGTGTCGTATCTAAGTGAATATCTTAATCACTTACTCAATTTTTTTGATGTGTGGGAGAATGAAAATTCCAGTATTAAAATGCTCAAAGACAATTACGCCGATGAAACTTTCAGGCGTAAACTAGAAATTCAAATGACCTTCACCACCGAGTTCTGTCCAAAATTAATGAAATTAATAGACGATTTGGAAGGAGCCAGTTATCCATTCGCCCATCTTTTATGGAACAAATTAGAGGGCTTAAAATCGTCACTTGAACACCATCGCCAAGGTTATTTTGGTGTAAAAACATCTCGATTGCTCACTGAAAACGAAGAAATTGACGCTACACTGAAGAAAATGCTTATGAAAGCAAACGACAAAGCCTTTAATAAACTAACTCTCCATATGACTTTAAAAGGCACAAACGAGGCTTTCTTACACATTGGACAGTTATTTAACCCATGTATAGCTGCAAGTTTTACTGTGAACCCGAGTGTACTCTCAGAAAGCTTTGCTAAAATTCCTCTTTTTAGAACAATGACACAATTGGAGTACATAGATGGATATACTCACTTTCACAGATTAATCATTCAATCGATACAAAGGAACGAAGATCCCAATGTGAAGGATATTTTGCTTGCTACACAATGCAGTTTTCCGTCATTTGCTAAAGCAGCATTACAGAGCATCTGGAGTCCAACGAACAGCGTAGATGCAGAACGATTCTTCAGCAAATATAATATTGTAGTGACAGATCGAAGAACAGCTCTTAAAGAGTCGAATATCGAAATTACAACGATGTTAGCTTTTAATTGATGTTTTTTGTTGTTTACTCGTAGTTAAAAATAAATGCGAAATAAATGCGAAATTTTGTAATGATAAAAAAAGTAAATGCGAAATTTCATGTTTTTTATTTGCGAAAATTCCGTACCTCTAGTTATAAGTTAGGGTTGAGCGCTTTGGAACACGTAGTCTAATTGAGAATATTCACATTATACAGAGGTCATTGTTTGAAGTTCCTTCCAGTGCACTTATTTTATTAGCTCCAATTTTTCATGACTCATGACAGTGCCTTAACCTTTCCCATGCCAAAGTGCCAATGTACCTAATTTAACCTAACCACCATCCTTAATAGAAAACTTGATACATACTAGTTATAGTATATATAAAGATGGAACTTTTTCATTCATTGTAATGGAAACGTCGTATATTTAATATTTTTAAAACAAATACTTACCGAATCGTGCTTCTTTACATAGTGGCTATCCAATCCTACTTTTGAACGACAACTAAAGTTACACAAGTAGCATTTTAGAGGGTTTTCTTCTTCATGAGTTTTCATGTGAGCTTTGAGATTGCATTTTTCAACAAATCTACAAGAATACAATGCCAATTGAATGAAAATTAACCCAAAAATAAATGAGCAATTATAACTTCAACAATGGAAAATACATAATAAAGCAAAGAAAGGTTTTAATATTAATTACATACTAACATGAAAGAAGATTTTATTTTAAATATCTTTTATGCCTATAGCCGGTAAAAACTTTATAATGTTGTTTAGATGATTATGGTCTCTAAGAAGCTCGCCTATGTCGCTGGGAAGGTTGAGTTTACTTCTCGTTTCCTGGAAAATTTGACATTCGGTTAAAATATTTTACTGTATTGTTGGTTTGACACTGGTTGCAGTATGGGGAGTTATCTCTCGTGATTCAGCAAAGATCTGTATGGCGGGTGTGACGAAGTAAAATGTAAGACCGAGGAATTTTATTTAAGATCAGATTCTTACCACTCAATGTTAAAATTGCATTATCCTCTTTTCGATTTTTTTTGAGAAGATCAAGCATTTTGTTTTTTCTTTAGAAAAGTCGAGTCCTGTTTTGTCAGAGCATTTCTTGAGATTATTTAATGCGTTTTGAAGGATTCCTTGGGTGAATTCTTCTTAGTAGGACAACCAGATCGTCTGCGTACAGTCTTCCTTTAACTGGTTGTTGACATTGTTCCAAGATATCGTTAATTGCAACAAGAAATAAAGTTACACTTAACATCGACTCTTGGGGGACTCCGTTTTCCTGGATTGGAGTTGATCATCGAGAGAATCATCATTCTCTCTGCTGTTACCCGCCAAAGAATGTAGAGCGTAGAACTATTTTAATTAAGTGGACAGTCTCATGCGGAACTTTCAAAAAATCAATTTGAATTTTTTTTTATAAATCGCTTCCATTTACATTCAAAAACTCCCTCCTAAAATTTTAAAAAGAAATTCCCACTAGAATATAAGTTATAGTTATTTTATTAACATCATCTACGCACGTATGAAAACCGGTTTCTCTCCTCGCGGCGAGCTCGAGACTCCAGCTGTTCTTGCTTTTGTATATATGTTGTATGGTCAAAGTCAAACAATAAAAATTGTACACAATTTTCCCCTTGTTGCCATATTTTAAATTTGAACAAATAGATAGGGAATAATCAGATTTTCTTGACATATCACTCCTATTACACCGAGCATTTCATTGGCTAGAACTAGTGACGAGTTTATATGACGTCATTATTAGATGAAGTGAGAATCGTAAATTCTACCTGACGTCTGTCATAATATTGGAATCAAAAAAGAATAAGAAAAATTTTTAGGTTAAGATTATAGAGGCGCAAAATTTCGGGCCAATGCTTTTTAAATGCATTAATTTTTTTCGAATCCTGAGAAAACTAATAAGTATTTTTGAGAAATTTTAACACAGAATGAAGGACTACATTATTACCGAGGGCCGAAATCCCCTGAAAACTTCTTTAATGTTTATTTTAAAAAGTTACAGTGGTGAAAAAAAGAAAGATAAAATTTAGTGTGATTTTTAATTACAAATATCTCATTCAAAAGAAACTTTTTGTTGATTCTAAGGGACTTTCGGCCATCGTTAATAATCTTTCGTTCTATTTTCAAATTTTTGAAAAATATTTATTAGTTTTTTTCAGAATTCGAAAAAAATGAATGCATTTAAAAAACATTGGCCTGAAATTTTATGATACACTGATATTTCTATGGATCTAAAATAATCTTTTTATTGTGGAGCTTAAATATGTGAAAATATTATTTTCAAATTATATTTTAGACATTTATTTCTTAAGCAGTTTTTCTCCTAGTTTGTGGTGTGTTCTTAAGTTGACAATGTGTGAACATAAAAACAGTAATATTGAAACTATGGAAGCAAAATGAAATGTTGCATTATGTCCTCTTCTCCCTTTTTTTGATTAATATTACATAAACATATGTTTTACAACTATGCTTAGAAATGAAATTCACAGTTATGTTTTATAAGTATATTTACAAGATATTACAAACAACATGATGACAATACAAATATATATTACAGTACATGTATTTTGCATTACATATATGGCATATACTCTACACATTGAACAAAATTTATTATAGGAATATCTATGGGCAAGTAGAATGTGAATAAAACCTTTTAGATTTTTTTACTTATCTGTTTTTTCAAGTAATGTTTCTACTAAATGTTTTAAGTTATTATATCATATTTATTTCCAAACTCCATACAGCGAGCCTAATACTTTTGATTCTTCTTTCATTCTGAAAGTAATATCTAGAAAAGAATATTCTTAAAGGTATTTTTTCATATATTTATTTACCCTGTCAGATAATTAACAAGATCTTCTGTTTTCCAAGATTTTGCATTTATAACTTATTTATTTATTTGTCAACGAGCAGTTGCCCAATTTAAATGCAATATTGCAATATTATAATACTAAAATATAAAATTTTTAAACCCTAATTTATTACATGTCATGAAATTTAAAACTAACAAAGACAATATTTAAAACCAACAAAAGAAAGAAACAATACAAAATAAAAACCAGGTCACAATTTAAAATTGATTAAACTAAATTACACAGCTAGTAGCATCAAAGAATCAAGTGCAAGATATTAATTGCACTTTAAAATACTTTGCTTTTCAAAGCAATCTAACCTGTCTGTATACTGATTTGCAAACCTAGCAGACCTAGATAGATAAGAATTATATCCGTAGTTTGTTCAATGGTTGAACAAATTCTAAGTTTTTACTTCATTGTACTTAAGTTTTTTATAACTATGGTATACAGCCAACCACTGGGATTTTCACTTTTATATTTTAATAAAATTATTGGAAATAAAAATACTTATTTTTACTGATCAAAATTAAAGTCTTCATCAGTGTCACTGTTTTCGCCGTCTTCATTAAAATTAATAACCACAGGTGCAATGTCATCCCTATCAAAACGTACCTCTCTTTCCCAAGAGTCATAAATGATTTTGTCCACATGTTGAATAGTGTTTGACCATATTTCAGGAGTAATAGTTAATAATGCTTCTTTCCACATAGCCAAAGTCATTTTTTGTTGTTACGTCCCTACCTATGTAGATTATAATAATTTTTTGATATTCCCCAAATATGTTCAATGGGATTAAACATACAGTGATATGGAGGAAGACGTAGAACTCTATGACCCATATGTTCAGCCAACTGATCAACTTTATAAATTTTTGGCGGTTTATTTAAATTTACAATATTCAACATTTCTGCTTTTAAAAGTTTTTCATCGAATGGTAGTTTTTGTTCCATAAGCCACTGCTGAATCTTGGGCTTGAATTTGGTTTGAAACCAGTGTAAAAAATTTTCTTCATTCTTCTCACCATGGTAGTCTGAAGTCGCATCTTTTGAACTGAATATTAATTCAGCATCATGAATAAATCCATTTACATTACCAGCATGAAGAATAATAGATATATCTTTTACCATCAACTTTGGTTGTTTTCAAACTTTTTTTATCATTATCTTGCCAAGAATGTCTTGATTCAGCCATTTTGGAAAATTAAAGTTTCGTCTAAAAACACAAACTGATAAATATCTTCCTCTCTTAGTTGTTTATATGCCTTTAAGTATTGAATTCTTTTACAAACAATATTGGGAAGTTCTAGAAGGCCCCGGCTTGGATTGTCTTTCTGCCACTTAAATCCAATTTTATGCAGTACTCTCCGTAAAGATGATTCACTACCTTCAAATAGATCTCTCTCTTGTAAAACTGCATGAAGAGTTTTAACAGTTATATGTTGCTCTAAAAGAAAATTTAATCTATAGTCTATAATATAATTGACAACAAAGTCTTACATGTGTCAATAAAATATTAAAATATACTTACTTTTTTCATACATTTCGTAAATTACATTTCGAATTAGAGGTGCATTATTGCAATTAGTTATCGGTTTTACAGGTCTCGGTCTTTTCTTAGGTGGAGAACATAAAGGTGTATTCTCTTTTGCGGATTGAGAAACTTTGCTGACAGTAGAAATACTCAACTTAAACGCTGATGCAACTCTCTAAAACAGTATTTTTAGTATACATAATTGTATTATCTGTTCTAAATAAAATACTTTCTAAATATATTTAAATAATAAGACCTACATACCTCTATAATTGCTTCTTGTGGTAATAATAGACCACCGTTTTTCTTCTCCCTTTCAAAATATTCAATTAAATTTGCAATTAATTGCTTGCAATGACTGGTCAAATGCGACGGCATTTTTGTTTTAACACAATTAAGTTAAAATATCCAAAAAATTGAATCGAAATCAAATCGAGAAACTAAAGTAACAGAATTTGTTTTGTAGACAGTTTATAGGTTTATATTTTAACCAACTTCACAACTATAAACAAATCTTACATAACCTTCTATAGGACAACATGGGTTTGACACTTACAGTACATATAGTTATCTTTGTTTCACACTCTTGAATGACAAAGAGAAACAATGTAGCCGGTAGTTGCTGTGGTAAATACATATATGTTTTTTATTTGGCAACAGCGCTTTCCTGCAAAACTTAACGGTAGCGAAAAAACTTATATATGAGGAAAAATTTGTTGAATTTGTTTGCCGTCAAGTTTGTACCATTGAGTTATGACGTCATTAAATCTATGACGTGCACCGCTAATTGTTTGCCTTTGAGTTTATATACGTTGGGTATGTATTAGTGATTCATTTTTATATAGTATGCATATCTGTATAATGTTTGGCAGTTACTATACACATTTGGAATTTTAAATCCCGAACATAGGATTTTTTACAATACTAAGATTCTCTGCGTTGCAATTAACCAGTGTTTCTTTATAACGTCGCGATGTTTTATAACTAATTTATTTGTTCCACTGGATTTATAGTTCCACTTCTCCGCAGCGGTTTATAGTAGCGTATATGGTACGCTGGCAGTGTTGCTCCGTCTACCGATTTTTCCTGAAAGTCCGGTTTTGTGCAGATAATAAATAATGTTTTATTAACATCAATTTTGTTTGTGTTCATTATGTATTATTTGAGTTATAAAATTTATACTTAAATACATTTATTAATCCAAATATTGTTTATAATTTCAAATTAAAAAGAGGGTAATATAATTATTTTATTTTTAAAATTCCTTTTTATTTTTAATTTTAGAAATCAACTTTTTTTTTCAAGCCGTTTTTGGCAATAAAACAACCATTTTTTTAGTTATAAAATATTTTCATATCTACATTTATAAATAAGTATGTTTTCGTTAAATTGACATGCGATCTAGGTGTGTTCCGTTTTTACACTTACACTGGCAGCATCGCGGCGTGAATTGAGAGTGAGACTCCAGTCAAACAAATGAATTAATTATAAAACATCGCGACGTTGTATTGAAATTTACAGCTTTACAAAGCCATTTACAACAACTGTTGGATGAAGACGGTCCCCAATATTCACCAGGAATGGCCGATTAAACTTGAGTATAAAGTTATCAGCCTTTTATTCACGAAAATTATGTAAAAAAAACTTTAAATGCTTTTTTCTCAAAAGTAACATTTTCAAACTGGTCAGACACTTTTCTCCGAACCTTCTTAACCGATTTTAAAAAACCAAAAATTTTTCGAAGGTATATAGAAAGTACTAGATGATAAACCTTTAAAATATTTAAAAACCACCCTCCCTTTTATTATATATGGGTAAATCCACCGAAAAATATAGTGATTTTTCGACTTTTTTGAAAAAATTCGTATAAACTCTTCAAAATAATACAATTTTGCATATTTTAAAGGTTTATCATCTAGTTTTGAGTCTCACGAATACAACCCATTTTGAATTTTTTTAATATCTGTTAGAGGTGATCCACAAAGTGTCTTAGCGCCAAAAACGCACTTTTTACTACACGCCATCCACAGGACACCAATGAAGTTAAAATCGCTATTAAAAATTTTTATTATGTACTTCAAGACTTACTTAATCATCTCCAAAAGGAATTATGTTAATAAATATTATGGTTTTTTTTCTGTTTTAATTTTAAAATGCGTCTTTTTTTTCAATCGCATGAGACTGTCCCCTTAATTTTAAACTGTTTGTCCTTGTTTTAGTGTAGTGTTTGTAAAATTTTATGTTAACATCCATGTTTATCACATTCTACGCTTGCTGGATAGATCATATTTGACGAAATGCCCCTGAAGATGCTATATTAAGCGAAAGTACTTAGGCAAGATTTGATTAAACTTGTGCTCGATATAATTGCCTCAATTTTCAAAGTTAAAAATACTATTAGCGTTTGCGGATGACGTGGACACAGTTACACTCATTGCAATTACTTTGAAAATAAATATGAAAAGGACGTGGCAGTCAGGATCATTCCAGTAAACAGGGCATATTACTCATTAATGACCGTACTTAAATCAAAAATACTCTCAAACCAGCAAAAATAAAAGTGTGTAAGACAATAATTCGTCCCACAATAACGTATGGAAGCGAGACCTGGACTCTGAACCAGCGGGGAACGACAAAATTACTGGTACTGGAAAGAAAGATAGTGTGGACTATGTATGGGCCTTGCAGAGAAGAAACAACAGGAGAATAGAGAAGAAGACACAATGATGAACTCCAGACAGTATATGGAGATGAAAACATAGTGCGCTACATTAAAGCACACCGAATAAGATGGGCGCGAAGATCGAGTGACGAAAGATTCCTGAACCAGAACCTGAGCCACATTCTGGGAAAGACCGATGGCAGAAGGTCAGTGGGTCGCCCAAGAAGAGATAGAAGGACGCAGTAGCCAGCGATCTACGCAAAATGGAATACAGCAATGGGAAATAGCTGCTCAGGACCGACAACAATGGAGGAAATAGGACCGCGGCCAAGACTCACCTAGAGTTGTAGAGCCAAATGATGATGATGATGAACATTCGTATAATACAATATACTACATACCCAGTACTAGTATACTAATGCTAACACCATTTCTTGGAATTCTCGAAGGTCCCATGTTATGGGCTCTACTGCCTACTTCTGAGTCTGGCCTCACTCATCAAACCTCTCCATTCCTTATGGCATGTAGCCATTTTCCTTCACGATCGACTAAGTTTTTTTGAAAGCAAAAGATTGTATCAATGATTGGCAATTCCAAGATGTATTTGAGTGCAAAAATTGTTTTATCTATTGTTGCTCTTATTGAAGACAGAAGACCGATACGGCGTTTCACGCAGTGCAATGCAACGTATCTTTACTCGTTTTTGAGGGACAGGAACATACAAACGACGTCCTAGAACAGGTCCTCAGAGAAAAATTGCTCATCGGAACGACCGTTTTATGGTGTCTACAGGACTAAAAATCGTCATTTAACTGCTATAGAGGTTAGGAACAGTCTTTAACATGTCAGAAACGTAGATATTAGTAAACTAACCGTTAGAAGACTGTTTCAGGCTACTCTGAATGCTTGATCACCTGTTAGAAAACTTTAGCTTTCCAGGGGACTTCGGATTGACAGATACAGATTACATGTCGCTAGGGAGACGTCTAGAAAAATGTTATGTGTACCGAACTACTAAAATGCATATTAAGATTTTACAGACAGAAACACAATTAACTATTTACACTGAAGAACCAAGTTTTTATATAAACTATAAACCAATATTTATTACATACACTCAGAAAGTATCTACACTGCGGAATTATTTCCCATCCAAAAACAGTAACTTATGAAGGAGTATTTACAAACCGTAGACTAGCAATTGTTTCTTCCAGCTGTTTCGTCTGTAACTACCACAGAACTTATAAAAGACGATGAGGCAAGCAAGGTAATTGTTGTCTGACCACTACTGGGCTGTGAGACTACTAAATAGTAAGCGATCGTGACACGATACACTTTTAGGCATATATTGGATCATGTATTTTCTGTGAGTCTTCAAAGAGATTTTAAATAAAAGAGGAGACAAAATAATCCTTACCTTACAAATTTCTTAATTAATTCTATTTTAGTTTTTATTGTCTGTATTGTATTTTTAAACAAATATTTTGTGAATAGTTTACTTACGATTTGTCGCATTCAGTGCATTTGTAAGGTTTAAAGCTGATATGTTTAAATCGAATGTGCTTCGCCAAAATAGAAGGTTTCGGGCACGTCATGTCACACATAGTACACTTGTAATGATTTATGTGAGATCTCATATGATCTCTCAACAGTCTTTCGGTTGGGAACAGTTTTAGGCACTGGGAACACTGATAGCATTGCACTAAAAAAAATAACTACTATAGACAGACATGACATCATTTAATTTCACTAAATTTCAAAACACATTTAACATAGTTATTTTACACACTTATTTTCACTTTTTATACAATATATTTTTTTATTTATTTGATTCAATGTATTTAAAATACCCATATAATGTAAATTTAACTATTTCTTTGAAATTATTGATAATTTAATCATTCAAAGTCTATGTTAGTAATTATTACTTAATAATTTACGAAAAATGGGAAGTCAATAAATCAATAGGAAATTCATTTTACTACAAGATGATTTACAGCATATGCTGTACAAATTTGCCACATAGCTGAGTAGTATTGCGTCGTCTGCATAGCAGGCAGCAGCAGCATCAGGTTGAGCAATAGAGGACTCAGGGAATCTCTGTGTCTTATCCCATTGCCAGCTTCATTAGGGACAGTTAGTTCTTCTTCTATTTTTTGTATTGTGTTATTTTGATAGACATTTTCGATCGTTTTGATTATTCCTAAAGGTATCTCTCTCGCATACAATAAATGGATAACGTCCTTTAATTTGAGCCGATCAATGGCCTTCTTAATGTCCACAAAACACAGATATGTCGCTTTATTGTATTCTAATGGTTTCTCTTGCACTTGCCTCATTATAAATATAGATTTGTCTCCCTTTTTGAAGAGAGTTATGATGCTTGATCTCCATTCTTAAGGAATTCTGTTAAACTCTAGCTACCTCAATGGCTTTTTTCATTTTTACAACAGAGGACATTTTCCTGATCATTATATAACAACTTATAAACCCTTAAATAATAAATTTATATTAATATAAATTGTAAGTACTTACAGGCAGATGACATCTGTCGCTTTCTGTGGTCACTAAACTTTGTTTTACTGGAAAATAGTCTGCTACAAGTGGCACATCCTACGCATTTTTCTTTTGTGTGCATTCTTAAGTGATCCGCTAGTTTGGGTGGTGTGGAATATTTAGTATTGCAATCTTAAAAGTAAACATCAGTTTAGGAAAATGTATTTTCCAAATAATATACCTACTAAAAATTCCTTTTTTATTATGTAAACCGTTGGCCATAGAACCAGTCGCATAGGTTATACAAGGTTAATTCATACTGTGTAGTGTAGGTGTTGAGTAAATCCGTTATTACTAAGTAAAGTCAGTTTCATTGTCTCGTCTGTCTTTCATTTCATTATAATGGACTCTTAAAGAATCTTTTAGTAAAAATTGAATGACAAAAAATACGGTGTGTGATTTATGGCTTATAGTTTCGTGTTAAAATGCAATAAAATATTTTATGACCGGCTATTAAAACTTTTTACTGAGAAACAGAACATACAGGTGTCGGATTAGATTACCTGTCTTGGGGCACCAACGAGATTATTATGTAAACAATATTTTCTTATAGGACAGGATCTTGAGGTAATAAAGTTAATGAAAGACATAATCCAACTCGAAAAAATGAACGTTAAACCACAGGTAAATTCATAAATAAATTGACAATGAAACAAGCCTACTTGGAAAAGAAAAAAACGAAAAATTTTGATATCAATGGATCTTTGCGAAAGCGAATCATAAAGTGGATTGAAGTAAATGGTGGGCATTTTAAATATTTGCTTTAAAGTTTTTTATTTTTGTTTCTTAATTTTCTATTCTATTTCTAATTCATTGGACTTTTTAGAAGCAAATAACTCAAAGACCGTTCGAATTACATAAATCAAGCAAGAGTAACTTTTTTTGTAGAATTTAGTGCTTCTTAGCTTTAGTAGTATAGCAGATTTACTAAACACAAGCAAGTATAACTGACACCCTCTATTAGCAATGCTAAAAGTAAATTAGCAATCTTCATGCCAAAAAAAGTAAAATTGTCAATTTTTAAATATAAATTGTGAATACATACATACAAAATTATTGCGACAATTAACACCATATTTAAACTTTAAACATCCATTATCTGGGAAACGAGCAAGATTTGTACAAGGAATGTTGGACAGAATCATATTTTGAGGTCTAGAATCTACAACTCAGACATTGGGCATTCTTAATGAATCACCCTGTATAGATGAGTTTACAGACCGACGTGCCAATCATATCTCAGCTACATGATTTTATGCACTACATAAAAAACGAAACAAACAATTGATTCATATATAAAATAAAAAGGTTTACAATGCAAACACTCAAAAGATTCGTTCATTAAATAATGACTTATTTATACACGTCACCGACATTTCTATAAGCAGGTTCTAGAGAAACTGTATCATCAAGAAGTGTAGATCGGTGTTTTGTAATGATACATTGTTTTCGAAGTTTATCATTACAGACGAAATGTCAGGAAAAAATCATTGTTACGGCTGTTGCTGCATCCCCTTCGATAATGTCTGCTGCATATGCAGACGACACGTCATAATTCACAAGGCACGTGTTAAAGGCAACGTAACAAGACTTTAGCTAGACGCCGACGAGGCTCTCGCGCGTTCAGACTTTTATTGATTATGATCTTGGATTATTTCACTGGCGCTACAGCAGGACCTTTTATATTTCAAAGGCAGGTAACTAGGAGTATCAATTCTCTAATTTTGTTGTTGGTTCTCCCACTAACGACTTTTTATCCCGACAGGGTGTCTATATCTTTTGGCTTTGTAATAATTGTAAATACTAGTAACAGTACATAAAATTTTGCAAATGCATATTATCTTATCGGACTAGTAACCGTGTAAAGATTAGTAATTCCCAGATTCTTATTTTTTAGACTCGTGAATCATAAAGCTTGGTAACCCGGATATTTTCAGTGTTTCCCCTAAATATGATTTGGGTTCTTTTGCATCTCGTTTGGTTAGTTTATGTTTGAATGGCATAATGTGTGCATATTGAAGTGTAAAAATGAATAAAAATAATATAAATAGACGATATTTTACCAAGTGGCTCAAATTCAAATAAAACAATAAAGTTAGATATGAAAAAAAATTATCAGATGAAGGACTGTTTAAATTATTAGAAGCAAGCGATGAAGAATTAAATGACTTCATCAGTGACAATCAGACAGTGAGTATTTATCAGAATCTGAGGATGAAATTGAAAATAACTTACCTGCAGCATTTATTGAGGATATGGAAGATAATGTATGTTATAAAATTAGATGCAAATATTAATTTTTTAATAAAAATATATTTAATTGTAGACTAAGCTGGTCGTTGAAGTTGATGGAGGCGATAAATGGGAAGAAAATGTTGATGGGATAAAAAATTTCCCTTTCTCAAAACACCAGGAGTTACTAATACAAATTTTCGATAATAATCTAGTTCAATTTTTCGAATGCTACTTACAGATGAATGTTTGCAGCAAATATGTGATGAGACATAAGAAGTAGGGTTAGATGATAGGGACTTGAGAATCATCTATAATTTATATTACAACCAAACAGCCAATATTAAAGTGGATGACCAATTGACAGAGGCAGTCTCCATAGATAGAGGAGTGAGGCAAGGATGCATTCTGTCCCCGGTGTTGTTTAATAAATACTCTGAATATATCTTCGAGTAAGCGCTGGGAGAACTACAAGAAGGCGTATTGGTCAACGGAATGCATCTAAACAACATTAGATATGCCGACGACGCAGTAGTTTTTGCAGGTAGTCTGGACGATTTCAAGAATTTAAAAAAAAAGATAAATCTTTACGAATTACGTTTAGAGCTCGTTACATCACTTTTAAAAATTCATAATTCTGAAAGAAAACATGTTACAAATGATCACCTAATAACCTTGTCTGGATTACTGTCAAATACCCAACATTTAAACCTTAGTTCCTGTTAAATGTTCCGATTAAAACTGATTTTTATTAATATTATTTACAAAACGCACCAGCGCGTCGTATGGCGTCTGTATACAAATACTAGAGCTGGGGGCCAGTGACGCTCTGACGCTTTCACCATCAACCCTTATTGTATATAAATGTGTATTAGTTCAAAATACTTACTCGATTCAAACTTTTCCAAAAACTAATAAATAAACGTCTATGTATCTAAATCAGTAAGCGGCTCTTGGTGAGAAACTACTCAGAATATATCGGCAGTTAACGTGTTAAGCTCCGAAAACAATGTAAAATTAGAAATTATTATTTTCAACTTATTGGATCAAAGTGATCCGGGGTAAATACATATTAAAGGTAAAAAGAGATATAATTTTAAAAGTATTGCTTCCTTACAATTCCAATGGCACACGATCTCATATTCTTCAGTAGCGGTCTTCGGATTATTTTTTATATGAACAGGCATGTGATTAAAAAATTCAAATAGGGTAAAAAATACTGCTTGGCAATATTCCCATTCGCATTTGTATCCAGACGCTTCAAGAGGTATTTTATATTCATGAGTTTCCAGGCATCTTGGCAATTTATCTCTCTCCACGATATTTTCGCCGATATTGTTGAGTTTCGAGATATATCCATGATGACAGAGATGCTGCTCTAGTAAGATTTGGTTGCTTAACTCATCTGTGCAGTCTTTCCATTGGCAACGGAAGACGTCTAGAAAACATTAGAAAAAATTAATATGTTTGTACAATCGGGAAATACATACATAATTAATATGTTAAACAATAAAATCAGCCATACATCACACAATACAACCACCTTCATTGAAGAAAAGGGTATCCACCTAAACAGAATATGATTCTTAACACTATGAAATATAAAACCTCTTCACACGGTCAATGAAAATGCAACGATTCCTACCAACAGACAAATCCCGGTGTCATATGATAGCGGCGGATGACACTGGTATACTAGCATCAGATATCAATCAAATATTAACATTTAACAAATTGCAAAATCATCTTAATGAACTAGAAGACCTATCTTGTCAAACAAGTCTTGTCAAGTAAATTTCACAAATTGAAGAATTAGATGTCCACAACTACACCTAAATAATTCACCTATACCAATAAAAACAGAAGTTAAGTACCTGGGCCTTCACCTAGACGAAAAACTTACTTGGAAATCACATATTGCGGCCAAACGACGACACCTCGACCTAAAAGTTAAAAATATGAGCTAGCTAATCAACAGAAGATCGCAACTTTCATTAGAAAACAAAATAACCATCTATAAAACAATACTCAAACCAGTGTGGACATACGGAATTGAGCTGTGGGGCTGTAGCAAACCATCCAACACCAAAATAGTGCAGACTATGGTATGTATCAAACCAAACTTGCATGCAGACCTCAACATCCCCTTCATCAATGATGTGATTGCTGACCACTCCAGAAGATACATGAATCGCAGCGCAGACCATCCAAACCATCCCCTTAGATGAATTATTCAACCCCCCACTGGTCGACAGACGTCTAAAAAGACTTTGGCCAGAAGACCTAGCTGCTAGGTAAATTCCAGAGAGTTGTCAATGGACGACACGTGCCACAAGCCAAGAACATACATCATATTTGCTTATTACTGTATTGAAGTAGATTGTAAATTAGCAATAAATAAATAAACAAATAAAAAATATGATAGCTAAAAATAGTGTAAGGACTTATCAGGAAGATGATCAACAGACATCACTTTTAATAATTTAAAACGAACATTTTTGACGAAGGTTCATTTTAAAACTCTCCGTACAATGTCTGATACTGAACGTTGACTACCATATTGGTTATCATAATTTGATTCACTGCAGCAGTGAAGAGTGACAACGAAGACTGATTTAACCACTCCGCATCACTGTCATTATCTCAGATCTCTGATCTTAATTATGTTTAAAAAACTTATAAATTTAAATGAAAGTCAGTAAAAAATACAAAACTATCAAGGAATAACTTTGAAATTAAAATACATACGGGTGCTTTTATTAAAACTGTTCAAAATACTACTAGTCGCTGCAAAAACTGTATCATACATGTGATACAAGAAAAAGAAAAACGTAAAATAGGTTGCAATATGTTTTATATAACTAAACCTTTAATAATTTATTAGATACTGCCGACTGCCGACAGTGATAGTAGTACAATCACATCAGATGTAAATACATTGAACTAGGTAGATCAGATGATAAAGGAGGATTTATTCGGGAGGTTTTCTTCATATAATCTAAAACACATCAACCAAAATATTCAATATCCTTATTTGTCACCATATCAGCACAAGTAAAGGTAAAATAAAGAATTTACAGTACTGAGTACTATATAGATTCTATTTATCTAATGTTTTGCTATGTTTATCAATATTTATTGGTATTTAAGGATTGATTTTAAAATGAAAACCAATTCAGTCATTGTTGTACTTTTTTTTTAACATGTTGTAACGTTATAAACGAATGATTTGAAGTCTATCGGAATTAGAGCATGGAGAAGAGTTGCCAGAGACAGGGGCGAATGGAGGATTGTTCTAAAGAAAGGTTTTGGCTCATAAAGAGCTGTAACGCCACTGATGATGATGATGATGATAACGTTATAAACGTGACATGTTTGATGTTTTTCTTTAAATAATTATTTTATTTCAGTTTCTTTCGATTGTATTCATTTATTAACTTTCTCTTTCATTTTACTACTTTTATTCTAATGATAGTTCGCGCTTAACTTTTCGATCAACTTTCTATTTTTTAAATATTCTGTCATAATCTAAATTCCAATTATATTTTTCACTTAATATTCTAATTCCCTATATTCAGACCCCGTTATGTTCTATGCGATAAACATATATAAATTTCTATGTCCCACTTCAGTCGACAAAGTATATGTCAATTGGCAACTCCGATCTGTCATATCAGTTCAATGTAGAAGGGAGATTAGTTTTTATAATGTCTTGTGTCTACTTCAGGTGTATTTTCAGTTCCAAATTCATTTATATTTTTTAAAATCTTTTCCTGAAGTACATTTCATATTTATAGTTGATCATTTTTATATTTGTCTTTATATAACCTTTTATACATAACCTCCAATCCACGTGTATCTTTTTAAACCTTGTTCAGTTAGTACCTTTAATACGATTTAAGTAATTTATTTTAATAATAATTATATTCATTTAACCCTTGCCAATTTGCTATTTTCTATTTAATATTGTAATTATTTGCAATCTCCATAGGGCAAGAAAAGATTTTAAAACGGCCTCTAACTCAACCTTTTTATTTTAGTTTTTTCTCATAAAATCAATTTTTCTTTTTCCTTCTCGTTGAGTGGAACTTGTTACTAAAGCCTTGTGATGCACCATACATATGGGATGACAACTGCAGCAACAGATCAGATATCTTCTTCAAGTGCCATCTCCGCGGTGGAGGTCGGCAATCATCATAGCTATTCGGACTTTTGAGACGGCTGCTCTGAAAAGTTTATTTGATGTACATCCGTACCACTCTCTCAGGTTGCGCACCATGACATTCTACGCCTCCTGCTTCTCTTTCCTTGGATCTTTCCCTGCATAATCAGTTGGAGCAAGGTGTATTTCTCTCCACGTGTAATGTGTCCGAGATATTCCAAGTTTCTTGTTTTAATTGTATTTAAAATTTCTATTTCTTTATTCATCCTTCTCAGAACCTCTTTGTTTGTGACGTGTTCTGTCCACGATATTTTCAGAATTCTTCTATACACCCACAGCTCGAATGATTCCAGTTTTTCATTGATGTCGCATTCAAGGTCCAAGATTCCATTCCATAAAGCAAAGTCGAAAAAACATAGCACCTCGCCAACCTAACTCTTACTTCCAATTTTAAATCCCTTGTACATAGCCCTCTTCTCATTTTGTTGAAATTTGCTCTAGCCTTTTCTATTCTGATTTTGATCTCTTGAATATAATAATTTGTGGAGTTGCCAGATACGCATATTTGTCCACTTGCTCGACGTTGGTTGCGTTTATTAGAAGATTCTCGTTATTTCGTTGAGTTTTTGATATTCTCATAAATGCTGTCTTCTTGGCGTTCATTGTTAGACTGTACTCTTTTCCATACTCCGCTATTCTGGTCACCAGTCTCTGAAGATCTTAAATATTTTCGGCTAAGATCACAGTATCGTGCAGATAGTAGATATGCAGAACTCAATAGCTGCTTAGCACTACAACGGGATCCCCGGCATCTCCACCAAACTGAAGTCTACTCATTCAGCTACAATCCATCCAGTCAACATTAGAAGTCATCAGCAAGATATTCTGTGAAGCCATAAGTATCAATTTAAAATTTATAAAACTATAGGCAAGATTTGCTCTATTTTTAATTTAATATTAAAATTTCAATTGTATTTTATGTACAATAAATATGATTAGTTAATATATTAGTTTATATGCCCCAGTCAAATGCATTTTTCAGATTTACTTCTAAGATAAGACGGTCTTATATTTGAGAAACTAAGCTAAACGAGGCGTAAGAATTGAAAGAAAGTTGTGATTTTTATTATTATACATGGGCTTCCAACTTTCAGATGTAGTCATATTGTGCACCCATTGGCACCATTTGTGACGAGTCGTTTGATAGTTACAATGTTAAATTCACTCTCGTCTCAATATTTTGTGTTAATATCGTCTGTTGCTTAAAAAAAAATATTTTTTGCATCTGTCAAATAAATTGGTAAGTACACTTTTATAGTTGCTTACATATACAGTTAATTTTCAATTTTACCTGTATATTCACTTGCATGTTGTATAATATGCGCATTGAATACTGCCCAGGAAGTAAAATGATCATCACGATCACAATCCAACCACATGCACTTTAAACTAAGAGGTTCTTCTGACAATTTTATAAGAGGTTTGCTCTTTTTCTTCTTTTTCCGGACCTACAATTATTAAAAAAATCAAATATTGAATTATTATTTCAAGAAACAAACCCTACACTATAATATGTTATATACACTGTGTGTCAGCCAAATGGAATAAATTAGCTAATAAATAAATGAGAGAGTATTCGAAAAAACGGTCGAACACGTCGATTAGTATTTATAGTTGCGCATTTTTTTCCATAAAAACTATTTATACGGAGTGTATCAGATAACGGTGGCGAATACCAACTTGCTTATTTTAAATAGAAATCCCTGTATAATAATTAATTTTTAGATTCCTCAGATCATTTTAAACATTTTTTGAATACAATGTCCTATCCCTATCTTTGACTATTTCAGAAATATTAACTAAAATACAAAAATTCACATTAAGAAAAGAAAATTATTATTTGCCGAAAGTCGCTACAACATATTCAAACACTTCTAAATAATACAACTCTAAACAATAATGTCAATGTAGGAGATGTTCAAAATACGCTCCAAGATGTAGGAGCCGCGCCACAGGCTAGAAAAAGAAAACCTTTTTCCCCTCCTCCATGTGTGTAAAATAATTAAACTCTGACCTTTGGCAACAGCAGCCTTAAACAGTTGTTTGACCATCATCCCATGATTTAGACATTGTATAATTGCTGTGAAGATACATTTTATCAGTATAGATAATATCACAGCCCTCTGCTCTATATTTTTTTTATTTTCTTTAGATAATCTGTTCTTTTGACTGGAATATCCGTTTTGTCCATCAGTATTTTTCTGATGTCCTTGTTTTTTGTCATTTTATAACCTAAGTTCTTTACCACTTCTCTGAACGACGATAATTTTCCTTGAAAATAATATCATCCTTAACAGCGCTGTAAACAGCTGACATTGTAGGTCTGCTGCCATGAATCATTGCAAAGGTATGAACTATGTTTCTTATTATTTCTTCCTCATAAACATCGACGTTTGTTTTTGGTTTTGGCTGATTGATTTTTTTTTTTTTTGTTCTAGGGGATTTAAAGATGTTTTGCGAGCTACATAAAGGAGATGAAGAATTGGAAATTCTCTTTCTTTCTTTAATACTTCTACTTTTAGAAACTCCAGTAACTTCAACAACGATATTTAAAACAGAAGATTACGTCCTGTTTTTTTTTTGTCCAAAATGTTTTATAAGTAATAATTGTTGGACTTGCGCTTTGAATTGCTGAATTAAACAAATCTGTCTTAAGAAAAACAGTTTTTAATAAATTTGAGTAAGCGACAGCGAAACGGGAGAAAATTTACAAAAGTTAAAATTTTTAAGTCGATATTTTTAAGTTGCTTAGTACACTGTGTTTCTCATGGAAAGGCGACTGAACCAAATTTCGTCTGCTGAAATGTAGTCAAGAGTGGTTGCACTAGCTCTACCAACTATTTATATCGATTTAATATATTAAATTATTTGAATCCTCAATATTAATTCTTATAACTGGGTTTGTAATAAAAGTGACAATGTACCACTAATCCCTACACCAAATCCGAGACGAATGTAACACTACGTTACTTTAAAAAAATCTTATTTACAATTTAAATTTAATCGCAGATAGATTACGAAAATACGTTAATCTAGTCTTGTGAGTCGGAATATTAGCCACAATCAATTTACTGTCAAAGTCAAATACTAGACGTAAAACATATGTGTCAAGTCGTTTTAAATTTGGGATTGTTTTGGTATTTTTGTATGTTTTTTAACACAATCGGAATATGTAAGTCGTATAATTAACAAGAAATGTAGAATCGGTATATGGCACTATTGTAAAGTTTACGACAATAAAATGTTATCCAGTTTAAAAGAAAAAATCTTGAATGTGTCCCTATTTCATACTGGTGATGAAATACAGTTAACTAAGAAGAAATTAATAAATGTTAATGCTGGCGCAGAAATTTTAACACATTTCCAAGATCAATGGGAAGAATTACATAAAATTAATGAAGATAATGCAAGGAAAGCCGAGAAAATTGCTCAAGAGATAGACAAAATATCTAATTATGTCAGTGATAACAAACAAAACCTTGGTTTGATTAATCATATTTTGATAACATCCCAACTATCATCTAATATAGATAAGTGCTTAAAAAATATACAGGAATTATACAATACTTCACAAACTATAGAAAAGGATTTAATACAATTAGAAGACCTTATTGAACAAGCTGATTTTAATAAACTAAAACAAGAACATGAATATCATTTAGAACAGTACCGTTCTAGAAAGGAAGACTCCCTTGCAAGTTTTAAAACAGAACTTAATGCTAAACACTTGAAAACAATTGAAGAGTATGAAATAAAAAAGAATGCAGTTCTCGCAGAACGCCAACAGGTGTTTCAAGATGCTTTTAAATCTGATTTAGAAATGTATAAAACCTCAGGGGCGATTCCTGGTCGAATTCAACAGAAAACTCAAAACAGCGCCTTGCTAGAAGAAATACAGCTAGATTTGGACCAAAATGAACTAGACCAATTTTTTAGTGATGAGAAATCGGGCGGTAGCTAATGAACTAGATGATTTTACTTAATTTTAGTGGTGAGATTAAATAACTTAAGGGATTAAATACTTTTACTAGCTTAAGGGAAATTGTAATAAAGTTGTATATACACTGTTATCATTTTTGAGACATATTTTTTGTATATATTGAAATTTATATTAAATATTTTATGTGAATAAAATACTCTATTGAACATTATAACTTCAAAAATTACTGTATATGAACCCAATAATTGCATTACTTACCACTATTGAGATATTTAAGTAAGTTAATCCAAGTTGTATTTCTTAAAAAAAAAATGTTGAAGACTTATTAAGAATTCAATGATTTATTAACTCTCTTTTGCAAGTTCTGCTGTAGGTTATCAAGGTTTATATTATACGAAAACAATGGGGATAATGATTACATTGTAAATAACCATTTATTGGAACAATTAATTCTTTTAAATTAATATTTATAGTGTATAGTTACTGTGACCATATGTACTTATTTAATTAGGACAGTACTTGTTTTTAAATATTGTTCTAATGTACTTTAAACCCTTTCTAAATACACGCAAATGTACTTATTTTTCTAAAAGAAGGAATATTGTCATCTTTTACTACTTTTAAACAATTATCTTAGACTCTGTCCTCAGTTAATTCTCTTTGGCACTTTTTCTTAAATTTTGGCCCACTGTGCAATGTTGCAGCTAAACTATCATTCAGATAATGACCTTTTCAACTCTTGCCAAATATCAATTAGTATGGTTTTGTCATTCATCATCATTGTGTTTAACCATTGAAGTGGTACGTAATGTTGTTAGTTTTTGTTTGCATAACGTTTTAGAATTCCCATAGAATTATTATCTCCACCTGGACGAAAATGCAATTTTAAAGCATAACTGCAAAAGGATTACCCTTTTATGAAAGTCAAGTCTGTCTCATAACTGCATATTATTTATTGTGAAGTATGTAAAAGTGACATTGATATTTCCAACAGTAGACGAAGTAATATTAAAGCACATTTGGGCAAGAAGAAACACATATTCGCAGCTAATGCAGTAACAAGAAGCAATAAATTACATTCATTTTTTTAAATCTGTAAGTGTCAGCTCCAAGAACTTAATAATTGCAGCCAAAGAAGGGACATTTGCATACCACCCCATTAGACATATTCACAGTTTTAGATCATTAGATTGTACTTCCAAATTGATTTCCAATGTATTTGAGTCTAAATTTTGTTCTGCTCGAACTAAAAGTGAAGCCATTGTGAAAAATATTTTGGCCAGAGAATCGCAGTTATGGCTGGAAGTTGATATGCAGAAAGTAAATTTTCTTAGCATCATTATTGATTCTTCAATTCACAAGGATACAAAACTAGTACCTTTACTAGTAAAATACTTTGACGGCAAAACCGGCTTCTTCTTAAAGTGCCCTCTCCTCAATGGAGGTTGGCTACTACAATTTTAAACTCTTCTCTATCTTCAGCTGTTCTTATTAGCTGTTCAAAATTTAGCCCTGTCCATTGTCGGATGTTTCTGAGCCATGATAGTCTTTTCCTTCCTAGGCCTCTCTTTCCCTCGATTTTTCCTTTCACTATAAGTTGGGCATATTGGTACTTATTATTTCTCAGTATGTGGCCTAGGTATGATGTTTTTCTTACTTTTACTGTGTTAAAAAGTTCTCTTTCCTTGCCTATTCTATGCAGCACTTCTTCGTTTGAGGTATGCGATGTCCATGAAATTTTGAGTATTCTCCGGTAGATCCACATTTCAAAGGCCTCCAATTTATTTACGGTTGATGTTTTAAGGGTCCACGTTTCAACTGCATATAGAAGAGTCGACCAGACGTAGCATTTTGATAAACGTAGTCGAATTTCGAGTTTTATTCGAGAATCACAAAGCAGTTTTTTTATTTTTTCGAAGGATTTTCTAGCCTGTTCTATTCTCGATCTTATTTCTTGATCAGGATTTAGGCTGCTATCGATCCAACATCCCAGGTACTTAAATCTATTGACCTGTTCTAAGATGTGCCCATTTATTGTGCAAGGTTGAGGTACGTTTTGGTTTTTTCGGATTGACATCACTTTGGTTTTTTTAATGTTTATTTTCATACCAAATTGCTCACAGGTCGAGTTGGTCTTGTCGATGAGTCGTTGTAGACCTGAGTCGGAATCCGCAATTAACACTGTATCATCGGCGTATCTGATACTGTTGATATTTACGCCATTCACCTTGACTCCATCCTTGGAATCCTCCAATGCTTCTTTAAATAGAAACTCGGAGTAAAGATTAAACAGCAGAGGCGACAGAACACATCCCTGTCTAACTCCCCTCCTAATTTCTACTTCTGCGGATGTGGAACCTTCGATCCTAACTCTGGCTTTTTGGTTCCAGTACAAGTTTTTTAAGAATTTGATGTCTTTTCCATCTAAACCGACTTCTTGCAAACGTTCTAATAGTAGGTCGTGTCTTACTTTATCAAATGCTTTTTCGAAGTCTATAAAGCATATAAATATATCTTTCTGTTGGTCGTAGCATTTTTGGGCGAGAACTAATAAACTGAACAGGGCTTCTCTCGTTCCCATGCCGGCTCTGAATCCAAACTGATCGTCTCCGATGATTGTTTCGCACTTTCTATAGATACGATTATGTACGATTTTTAGTAGGACTTTTACAGCATGACTCATAAGGCTTATCAGACGGAACTCATTGCAGTGTTGTGGGTTTGGCTTTTTTGGTAGTGGGATGAATATTGACTCCAGCCAATCTTGAGGTATTTTACCTGTATCATAAATGCGATTGAATAAAAGGACAAATAATTCGATATTTTCTTCGCTGATTAATTTGAGCGTTTCTGGGTATATTCCGTCTGGACCTGGGCTTTTATTTGTTTTGAGATGATTAATTGCATTTATGATTTCAGATTTCAGAATTGTTGGCCCTTCGTTGTTATTTTCCAATCTTGGTTCTTCTCGTATGTCGTGAAAAAGAATTTTAATATAGTTTTCCCATTCTTTCAGTTTATCTTCCGTTGATTCTAGCAGTTTGTCATCCGTGTTCAGCATGGTGTGAAAAGTCGTTCTCTTGGTAGTCGATGTAAACTCTTTTACCTTTTTATGTAAATTAAAAAAATCGTGCCTTTGTTGCAGTTCTTCTATTTCAACGCATTTTGTTTCCAGCCATTTCTCTTTTGCTTCGGTTATTTTTTTTCGAATTATTCTATTTAGTCTTTTGTATTCTACGTCCTTGTCATTTTTTCCTTTAGATTCTCTTCGTTTGTTCATTAATTGTAAAATCTCTTCTGTCATCCATTCCTGTTTGTTATTTCTAGGTGTTACTTTTAGATGTTTTTCCGTTACATTGTTAATTTGTTCTTTAATAGTTTTCCACAGAACGTTTATGTCATCGTACTCTCTAATTCTATTGTGGTCAATATTTCCTAAATTTTTGTTTAATTCTTTATTTACTGTCTTATGTATGGTGTCGTTTTTCAATATTTGGATGTCTAATAGTTGGTGTTGAGGTTTTTGTTTCTTGATTAGTTTCCATCTTGCGCGAACTTTTGCAACAACAGGATTATGATCGGAATTGATGTCAGTTCCAGGATATGTTTTTGCACTGATGATTGCATTGTGATATCTTTTGTTGACCAATATGTAATCTATTTGGTTACGGATTACTCTGTTTTCATTGTGTTGTGGTGAAGTCCATGTGTACAATCTGCGAGGGTGTAATTTAAACCATGTATTTGTCACTACCATGTTGTGTTGTTGGCAGAATTCGGTCATTCTCTCTCCCCTGTCGTTCCTTGCTCCAAGTCCGAAGTTTCCGATCAATCCAGAAACTTTTCCTCTACCTAACTTGGCATTAAAATCACCTAAGATAAATGTTAGGTCTCGTTTTTTGGTCATCTTTATTAGTTTTTCTACGTCAGCATACCACGCTTCTAGCTCTTCTATGGGTTTATCGGCCGTAGGGGCATAAGTTTGAATGATGTTAATATTTACTGGCTTTCCGGATAGTTGAATAAGAAGACATCGGTCCGAAAATGGCACAAAGTTTGTGACGGCATGGTTATATTTGTCTTCTAAAATTACTCCAACCCCGTTACGATGAGCCGGATCGTTATTACCCGAGTAATAGAAAGTTTTGTTCATGGTTTTAACTTTACCTGAACCTGGCCATTTAACTTCACTTAAACCCAATATCTGCAACCCTAAACGTTTCATTTCGTGGCATGCATTTGCTAGTTTTCCTGTTTCGAACAGACTTCTAACGTTCCATGTTGCAATCTTAAAGTTTGTATTTAAAATATTTAGGCTATTCCTCCCGGGGATTCTTCGCACCCCTTGATCATCTAAGATCTGCCGGGGACTAGGGGCCAATTCTGTTTGTGCTTTCATTGTAGTTTTCTTGGGAAATATATACCAGAGTGGTTTCCCGTTGCCTTCTCTGGTTTGTATTTTAGCCGATCCTCTGGACACAGACGCTATTTGCAGCCGCCCACTCTGGGTCAGACGCTGCGTGCTAGTTTGATCCCTACCACTTACCAGCTCATCCGCCCGAAGCCGTTGGACAGCAAGTGGGAGATCGCTTATACCGGCAATTGCTCGGTAAATATTTTCGCCATATCTGGCTACCCTCACTTAGTTTAGCCTGCAGACCAATGCAGTTGCCCGGGGTGTGGCACGTGGAGCCATAAGTGAGAGTTAGTTGTCTTATGAGGACCAGTTAGCAAGAACCATCTCCCGTCTATGACGCTCGATGTGGTCGTTCCGATAAAAGGTGCTACCTCTATAACACAACTCTAACAAAACTCTCGGCAAAACCGGCACTCAAATAAAATTATTACAGTTAGTGGATTTACCAGGTGAGACATCCACTAAATTACATGATTATGTATTAAATATTTTACAAAAATATCATATTCTTAATAAGATTGTTGGACTAACAGCAGATAACACAAACACTAATTTTGGTGGTATGAAAAGACAGGGAACTAATAATTTATTCACTAAATTGAGTAATTCTTGCGGGAGAGCTTTAATCTGTATTGGATGTGTTGCTCGCATATTTAACAATTGTATTCAACATGCTACTGATGTTTTACCAATTGATATCGAAGTAATAACAGTGAAAATTTATAAGCATTTCTATATTTACACTGTTAGAGTTGATAAACTAAAGTAATTTTGTGAATCAGTTAGAGTACAAAAAAATTTTGTCATTTTCAAAAACATGATTTCTAAACATGATGCCTTCAATGGATTTTATAAATATTTGAACCACTTAAAGTCTATTTTCTATCATCTGAAAATTGTCCCACAATTTTGAGACAATTTTTTAATGATCCCATTGCAGAGATGTGTGTGGCTCATTCATAATGTGGCATTGCAGTCTCATGAAGCTATTCTAAAAGTAGAAGGTGATAAAACAAATGCGACAGATGTTGCCCAAGAAGAATACTTTAATCTTAAAAACAAGTTAGAACATCAGTTGGACGCATTATTTTTGCTGCTTAAAGTGAGGGAATGTCTTGGTAAACTTGAAGACGGGCAAGTAGCTACTGAAAACTTCACTGCACAAGTGAAACATTTTTACACAAGATGTGTAACCTACCTAAAAAAATGGAGTACAAATCTACATGAATTTAAAATATTCAAATGGATAGATCTAAGAAGTGAAATAACATGGAAAGATGTTTGTTATTCTCTCGAAGCTTTTAAATTATACATCAAGGCAACTATTTTAAATGAAGATCAACTCTTTGAGGAACTGGGAATTTTGAAAGACGTGGCTATAAGTGAAAACATTGCTGAGTGGAACAGAGAAGAAAAAAATAGTGAGGATCAACGGCTTGAAGTTTTTAAGTGTGTCTTCAAAAATTAAGACAAGCCCAAAAGAACTGGGTAATTGCCAAATGCCAAGAAACGAAGCGCTTGTATGCTCTGTATGATGACGTAAATTTTCATCGAATGATTAAAGAAATTACTGGCATCACAAATATGGCTTTACTCTGACCAAAACGAAGAGCAAAGATAAGACAGTAATAAACTTAATTGGTTATACTATAGGACCAAACCATGTCATAAAGCCCGATGGTAGCAGGCTGCAATTCTTGTTGAAAATGATTTCACTAGATGACACAGTATCTCTTAGAAGGATATTGGGTATGTTTGTACATTATGCAAAATGGATTCCTAATATTTCCGAAAGGGTCCTCAACATTAGCTTATGTCAACAATTTTTCATTGAACGAAACTCTACTTTATCATGTTTTGGAAATCTAATCTTGGCTATTTTTGGCTATTTTCTGTGACATGCTTCAGAACACTTGGTTGCTGCTACCTTGAATCAGAATTCCAGACCCGTTGCTTTCTTTTCAAGATCGCTAAATTCTAGCAGCTAAACCTTATCATATAGGTTTTGCTTTTTTATTTTAGTTTCAGAAACTGAAAGCTTTTGAAATATAAACCTATTGGTGTATGCAGCAAAATGTGTCAATTGACAGAGTTTCAAACGCAAAAGTATTAAACCAAACAAATGAAAAATATTTCTAGAAACACCTTTTTAGAAACCTCTAATTGTTGGTCAATTTTGCTGGCAACAATTTTCAAATTTCTCATGATTGTATCACCTGTTGGTTAGAATTTGAACATTTTAGGTTTTCTCCATTAATGATAAGGACTTCCTTTAATCGTCTTCAAATAACCTTCAAACTACTAGAATATTAATCCTGTTCATCTACTTATTTGCGCAACTGGTCTGAGTAAGATGTTTCCTCAAATTAATACAGACAAATTTTTTAAAAGCACGATCCATTTTAAATAAATTATTTAGGTTCAACTTTTATTTGGTTGTACCATTGCTTCTTAAATATTTTTACTGTACAAACTTTGTGACAAACTGTAGGTTAGGACATTGGAACTTAATGTCATGACATTAAATACAATGGACCTTAACATAAATTGTTTGCTAAACATCCCATATAAGATGAAACATTATCAGGATCATATTTGATCTTTTTACTGGTCACAAAATACAGTTGGTAAATGGACCAATTTATAAACATTCACAGACTAATACTAATCATTTCTTAATTTATATATTTTTTTAAAACGATTTCTATGTTGGAAATCGAAACATCAAATGGTGTAGATATAAAAAATATTTAACTGTAAAATTATCTATTCAGAAATAACAAATTGCTCTGCCAAATGAATGATATAACATATTATACTGTGAAGCATGAATAATATAATATATCAATACATTTTTGGCAAAGTAACGTATGTGATATTTTTGGCGAAAATAATGTTTTTCAATTAAACTAATGCTATTACTGTTAAAAAGGTACTGAAAGAGTGTAGTAAGCCTAGAATTACTTTAAACCTTTTTTAGGACAAGTAGAATTGAATTAAAAATTGTTTTTTGTACAAATCGTTTTTGGTGACTTACGTTACTTTGCCAAAAATGTATTGATATACTGCATTAAATTAGGCACCAGTATCAACACTAACATTTTTTCTAAATGTGATGTTTAATCAATGCATTTATAATATGTTTAACATAATTTCTTCAACATACAAATAAAAAAAAACTTTCATTTATAATTAACATCAATGGCTTTGTTGATAATCAATTTACTTACCACCGGTTCTTCGTCATCTATAACCAACTCTGACTCAGAGGGAGACGAGTCTTCTGAAAATCTTACAGATTTTCTCTTCTTTGGGGTCTTCTCTTTATGTACAACATGCTCAAAAACTGCTAACCTATTCTTCCTTTTTTTATTTACTTCCTGATCTTCCATTTGAAGAAAAAAAAAGCGATTGGTTTAATTTGATTTTTCTATATAAATTTGCAAATTGAATATATCTGATTCTATTGTATGTAAAGGTACTATATCAGCAGAATGACAAATATTTTCTGTTCTGTTAACTTCAACCCAGGGAAAATGCTAAAAAATTATTTATACATTGAAGGAAAAAAAATTGGTATAGGTTTATATTGTAGAAATTTAAATAAGACAAATTTAAAATTCCTAATAGGAAGTAAATGATTGATAAACGAAAATATCTAATACATACATCATAATTAGGAGTTTGATTAAATTCTAAATTTGAATAGGTTGTCACTTGCAACTGTACACTGAAAGTGGCATCCTCACTCAAATCATCCAAATAGTTAATAGTGTTGTGAAGTCTTAAAATGAAATTCCTCATACACTGTTCCAGATCAATTAATAGAGGATCACTAAAAAACAGGAGCACAGTATCAGATTGGGCATTTCCCGTGGGATTCTCTACACTTACGCGTCAATAATGTTTTTGAGATCCAGTATTTCTAAAACATACTTCTCTTGAACAGATCCTGCTGAAAAGAAACAAATAAAGATTGCTTTTAGTTGACTCTTCTTACAATGAAAGCTAACACTTTTTAAAACTTCTGTAATATAATTATTTACATCAGGCTGAATACATTGATAAACTACCACACCATACTTCCGTTTTCTAGAAAAAATTGTTTCAGGATACAGCTTCCTAATATATACAATATTATGAATTACTACTTCCAAAAATTCGCATAAAATATCGGATGGTGCTACAAAAGAATAGATTTAGTATGATTATAATTATCTTATTAAATAAAAACTTTATACCAAGTTTGACAGACATAACAAATAATAACCAACCTAAAATAACATTTTCATTTTCATTTTAGCCGTCATTTTTTAAGTACTGTCATTGATTCCCGCTTAGAAATAACATTGTTGCCAAATAATTGTTGGAAATAAAAATGAAAATCTAGTTCTACAATTCCGTATTACCTAAAATACTGTTAATTTGAACTGAAAAATAATTTTTCATCTTAATATGTGATGTTTAGCAAACAATTCCGGTTTGCTAAATAGGTCCATAGTATTTTTGTGCCATTAACTTCTCGTGACCTTTGTGTCCTGTCCTACAGTTTGTCAAATAAAGTTTGTACAGTAAAAAAATTTAAGAAGCAGTGGTACAACCAAATAAAATAAATAATTTGTTTAAAATAGATCGGGCGTTTGAAAAATGTGTGTGACTTCGGTAGACGAAACATCTTATCCAGACAAACATCTTATCCAGTTGCGCGAATGAGTAGAGGAACAAGATGAATATTCCAGTAGGTCCAAGGTTATTCGAAGACGATTAAAGAAAGTCCTTATTACTGATGGAGAAAACCTAAAAACGTTGAAATTCCAACCAACAGACGATACAATTGTGAGAGATTTTAAAATTGTTACCAGAAAAATCAGGCTTTATGACATGGTTTGGTCCTATAGTATAACCAATTAAGTTTACCTGCTCTTTGCTCTTCGTTTTTTTTTATAGAGTCAAGCCATATTTGTCGGTGGTTTCAGAAAGTCTCTTCGAGGTTTTCTGTGCATATAAGTCAGTCGATTGTTTTTTGGAAACTAGCTACACCATTGCTAATCTGGCTACACCAAACGGAAAACGAAGAAATTGGTACAGTTTTCGGATATCTTAGCAAAGATGGGGATTGATATTAGATATGATTAAGACAATTGCAATGACAAGCAGAGGCATAACACAAAAATATTGTTTGGTTAGACGACGCTGGAAGCTAGAATGCGGGAGGCGGCACAAGCCATAAAATAAATCGCATACATCTGATCTGATAATGGTTAAAAACAAAATGGATTCAGAACTAGCAAACTATATGCACGTAACAGTCCAAGATATAGCGAATTTCCAGATGGAACAATGGCTGAACGATAAGATACTCAGTTTATGGGGGATAGAAGGATTGCAAGAGGCCAACAGCAAAACGAAAGTATTATAAACTTTTTATTACGAGAAGTATTAAATAAAGATGCAGATAAGCTCAAAAGAACTGAGTAATTGCCAAATACGAAGAAACGAAGCGCTTGCATGCTTTGTATGGTGATGTAAATTTTTATCTAATAATTAAAGAAATAACTGGCATCACAAAAAAGCACATGTATCACTAAAATACGATTGAGCCGATATAAACTAAAAGCTATATAAAAGGTATGCCAAATTTCTCTTTACGGGTCATAGAAAATGATACTTTTCATGACGATCTACATGCAGAAGCTCTTACAATATTGTACCAAAAGTATCTCACGTAATTATTCAACCGAATGCAGAATTCAGGAAAAATTCCAAATTACCGGTTAAAATCAACCTTTATAACAATTTCGAAGAAGGTATATCCCAAAGATTGATCTATCGACTATCGACTTGTCTCATGGGTAATACTCTGAATATTTCTTTGAGTCACGCACGCTCTAATTTGCTTGAAATCGGATGAAAATAACGAAGAAATAGAGTTTGGCTTCATAAAAGGGTTAGGTACGAGAGAGGCCTTGTTTTCAGTTAAACTATTGATTCAAAAGCATTATGATCAACCATAATATGTTTTTTGTATGCTATAGATTATTAATATTATTAACGTTATTAACAATATTATCGTTTATTAACGTTAAACATGAAAATATCTTATTAAATAAAGATTACTCGCAATCGGTATATAAGGCAAAAATATCAAAATTATACAAGAGGAGTATTGGAACCAAACGACGGAAATAATAATCAGCAGAGAACTATCCACAGATTTTTTCAATTTTTGTAAAGGAGCACTCAAGGCGTCCGTCAAGGCTGTATAAGATATTTATGATGAGACATTTTTCAAATGTTTCTGGAAGGAGAATGTAGAGGAATTAAAATTAACGGTATTCCAATAGACAATAGACGATACGACAATTCTAGAACCAACTTTAGAGGATCTTCAGCATATATTAGACAGGATTGATATCATGGGTAAACATTTTAAGAGTTAAGATCCATACTACTATGATACAAATTTATATATTATAGGTAGGTCGTATAATAGGTCGACAGCCGATAATCAATACCATCTTCACTTGACAATCAACGGAAATCTATAGAATAGGTATCTGGACGCCATGATCAACAAAAAATAACACTGTTATGAAGAAATTAATTAACTATGCAAGAACAACTATAGTTAAACTTTAAAATTCCCCATTAATTTTCTCTCTTTCATAATCTTCCATTCTTCTAGTTAACTAATTAGAAGATCAATCTGAAAGAAATATAGAGCGACAATATAAGGTTGGTGTGTTTGCTTCTCTTTTTTTTTTGACTATGCATGCATATTGGTTTTTTTTAAATGTTTAGCCTATTTTTTTATACTCTTTAAACCAATCTTCTCATAGGTCAAGTGTTGAGTTTTCCTCGTCCCTCGACAAAGGACTAAGTGGCGCCCTTTATTTTTCCCCTTTCGTTTAGTTCTGTCAATATTAGGTACCTTTCAGTTCCGCCTAAATGTTTTGAATATACCCCCATACCAGATCTATCGACCCACGTACCAAAGCTCACCGTTGTGTCTTTCAACGGTTCCAAGCAAGTTTTTAATAATTTTTCCTGAGCTCATGATTCCATTTTAACAATATTCCAGTCTTTTACTTGTTTTTAAATAATTTTCTGGTTCTGCATTTTAGCTATATATGTGTCTAGTCCAACTTCATCTTCATCAGTTACTACTTCTGTAATCATATCATGAATTTGAGTGCATAGCACTACATTTGACGTCTGAGGTGAATAGGACATATAATGCGAATGAAACAAAATGACCCAATTAGAAAAACGATCCTTATAAACCCTTTGGTCAGGGATGTAAAGTATCTTTGCAGCTGAACATGACTTAATCGTGCTAAACTCATTTTACAAACTACCACGTAGATGCCTGTATACGTGGAAATCACCTAGAGACAACGGAGAAGACGTTATTATAAGAAACCAAATAGACTATATACTTGTTAACAAAAGATATCGAAATAGTTTCAACAGTGTTAAACCTACCGAGGTGCTGATTTTCAGTCTGACCACAATCCTTTAGTGGGCGTGTATAGAACCAAGTTATAGAAAACACGCGAAAAAACTGTGAAACAACACGACATGAGAAAACTGAAATATAGTGAAGTAAAAGAAATAGTCAGCAAAACAATAAACATAAAATTCAAAGAAATCGATAATACAACGGAAAGCACAGAAGAGAAGATAGAATTCCTTAATAAAACGATAGACGAAATTAAAGACAATTTTATGAAGAACGAAGAAGGTAAGAATAAGACATGGATGGCGACAGAGATGGAAGAAAGAAGGAAAAACAAGAACAATAACTCTATGTATAAAATATTTCAAAGAGATATACAAAGAAAGATCAGAGAAGCCAAACAGAAAGAACTGGAGAAAATGCCAAGAAATCTAAATTCCTAAATTGGCAAATGTAAAAACAGAAGATTAAGTAAACTTGGTAATGGCAACATAGAGGTAATAGTGGACAAAGAAAGTATTAATAATACCTGGAAAAATTACATACGAAATTTATTTTTGGATGAGAGGAAGAACCAGTCCCCATTACCTGCGGTAACAGGACTACCTATACTAATGGCAGAAATAAGAGCAGTCATAATATCACTAAGAGAAGAGAGAGCTCCAGGACCAGACGGAGTACAGTCTGAATTTCTTAAACTTCTTGATGATGAATCTTTAAGAATACTTAAAAATTGTAAAATCTTCAATAATATCTATGACACAGGCAATATTCCAAAAGATTGGCTAGTTTCAGAATTTATTACATTACCAAAGAAATGTAATGAACCATACACTAAAACTTTTTTCTAAAATTATACATCGCACAATATACAAGTTATGCGAACAGAGAATACAAGACACACAGTTTGGATTCATGAAAGGTGTAGTAACGAGAGATGCACTGTTTATTCTACAGTTATTATTCCAATGATGCAGAGATATGACGTGCGATATCTACACCTGCTTTATGGATTATCAAAAAGCATTTGACATAGTTCAACACTAAAAATAATGGATGTTCTAGCAAAAGCCCAAATAGATGATAAAGACCGACGTATAATACAAAAATTTATACTGAAACCAATCAGCCACAATAATAACAACTCTTGACAAGATGAACCCGCATAAGCGATCCAGACTCTGCGAGACGTTAGAGAAGGATATATACTTTCACCTATATTATTCAACCTACATTCAGAGAAAATATTTAGTAAAGCCGTGGAAAATTGCGACAACAGCAACTAATAAACATAGTAAATGAAGTAAGTGAAAGATTTGGACTACAAGTAAACATATCAAAAAGTAAATTTATAGTCATCAGCATAAATAAAATTAGAGACGTCCAACTGCTTATCAAGAATACACCAGTGGACCGAATAAAATAGTTTACCCATCTTGAAACAATAGTAAACGAACAATGGGATAACTCGCAAGGAGTAAAATGTAGAATAGAGAAGACTAGGAATGCATTCAACAATATAGCCAAATTCTTTAAAAGCCACAACCTTAATCTGGAGATAAAAGTAAGGCTCCTACGATGTTATATCTTCTTGATATTATACTACGGAGTTGAATCCTGGACAATCACTGAAACGATGGAGAAAAAACGTGAAGCCTTCGAGATGTGGCTATACAGATAAATCCTAAGGATGTCATGGACGGACAAGATAACCAACGAGACTGTATTACGAAGAATGGGGAAAGAAAGAGAAGTGATGTATACGATTAAAAGGAGAAAGTTAGAATATCTCGGACACATAATGAGAAACGGCACTA